CTCAGTCCAACCTCCTTTGTTTGGCTTAAAAGTTTTCCATACCTTAACCCTTTCCAAGCCCTGTTTTCTACTGCCATCTGCCTTCTCCTACCCTCCAACTCTCCCCCAGTCTCTCTACCCGCCTCCCCAGCCTCCTTTCTCTCTCTCACCTCCCTGCATAAATGTATGGAGCCCTTGCTTCTTAAACAGCACTCCTTCTCTTCTGTGCCTGTTTTTTTTTTTCCTTTTACTCCTAAGTTAGCTAGTGGAACATCCTCCAGGAAGAATTCTCTCGTCACCCTCCTCCCTCATTAAACTGTGACCTCCTTAAAGATAGGGCCCATGTCTTCTTCACTTCTGAAAGTCAGTTTCTAGCAGAGAGCCTCCCACATGGTGCTTCATAAAAACTCAAAGGTTGAATGAGAATTTCCATCTCAATGTATGACTGAGAGTCTAAATGCAGTTCTCAGCCCAACATGTTACCCAGAAGGCCTCAGTGACCTCTCATGAAGAGTGACTCCCTGTGTCCTCTTGGGTTTTCCCTGCATCCTGAAGTGAGCACACAATTAAATGGCCATCACTTACAGTTAAAAGCCAAGCAAACCTTCCACACCTTTCTGGAAATTCACAGTAGCACTGTTATCATTTTGCAGATGAGAAAATTGAGGCAAGGGAACAGGTGGCTGAAAATACCCTCATAGCCTTGAGAAAGTCCATCTCGATGCTATCCAGTGAAACTTAATGGCAACCCAGGAGCCAGGCAGCCTGCTTTATTTTGGAAATGAAAATGTCAGTATAGTATAGTTGATGAGAGTTTGAAGAGAAAAGATGCAGCAAAGTAGAACGCTAACACCAATTCCAAACAATTATCAAGAATCATACTAAAGTTACCACGAATCAAAATATCTCATATTTATCTCATTTATTTCTCACAATAATCTTTTTATTCGTGTTTTTTATAGGAAGAAATTAAAGCTCGAGAAGTTCAATACCTTGCCCAAAATCACACACACACTAGTGAACAGCATAGTCAACATTTGAACCAACCAGTCTGCCTAATTTCAAAGTCTACGTTCTTGGATGTGAGGGAGATCTGGCTGTGACATCTGCCACCCATTGATCACCAGGTTTGATCCAGCTGATCTGACTGGCTAGGCAGGTGTCCCCTTCCTCCCTCAACACTCCATGTGTATCCCTCCCAAAGCTGCATGCTCAGTTGAAGAGGGCGACCATCCCCAATAGAGAAGGGCCAGTCTTCCAGTAAAGGGTATATGAGTAGCTGTGCTCCCCTGCTAGAACCTCCAAATGAGCTTTCAAAGTCTACATTCTTCATCATCAAGTGATATTGCCTCTCTAAAGAGAAAATTGAAAAATTCAGGAAGACTGCTCCTTATGTGTGACCAGGGCTATATATAGCAGACATTCCTAAACTATCTCTTGAATGAAAATGAGTGAGTGAAAAATTTGTCTAGAATCTTCTGCTGGTTTATTTTCAGATTTCTTCTGTTTACAGAACAGACTCCCCAGGGGTCCTCAGGCCAATTCAGACAGTATCTCTTGAGATTTTTTTTTTTTTTTTCACGGAGTTTCACTCTTGTCACCCAGGCTGGAGTGCAATGGCACAATCTGGGCTCACTGCAAACTCCACCTCCTGGGTTCAAGCGATTCTACTACCTCAGCCTCCCAAGTAGCTGGAATTACAGGCACCTGCCACCATGCCCAGCTAATTTTTTCAGAATTTTTAGTAGACACTAAAAATTCTATGGGTTTTGCTATGTTGGCCAGGCTTGTCTCGATCTTCTGACCTCAGTTGATCCATGTGCCTTGGCCTACCAAAATGCTGGGATTATAGGCATGAGCCATTGTGCCTGGCAGAGATTTTTTTAAAGAGAAAAATCTAACCTTGACCATATTAGACATGAACAAGATGCAAACATCTTGAGTAGCATTGTCCAACAGAGCTTTCTGTGACTAAGGAAATGTTCTAGAACTGCATTGTACTATCTAGAGGTAGCCACCTATGGCTGTCCAGTACATGACATGTGGCTCGTGTGACTGAGAAACCAAATTTTAATTTAATTTTAATTAATATTAATTGAAATAGTCATATGTTGCCATTAGATGGCAAAGACATTTCATTCAAGTTATTTATTGAGCACCGAGCTAGAGGATGTCAAATACTGAACTAGCTGATAAGTGAGGTGAAAACTAAAACAATTCCTTGTCCTCATGGAGCTATAGTCTCATGAAGCTAGATATTAAATAATTATACCAATAAAAATACAATTGCAGCAATAATGATTGTTATGAATGAAGGTTATAGAGTCTATTGAGATCTGGACTAATCTGAGTGTCTCATGGAAGTCTCCTGAAGAAGGAATATTTGGGTCTGATCCGATGGATGTTAACCAGGTGAGAACCTTCCCTGTAGAGGCAAATTGTAGGAGAAGTCCTGAGACCGTTGGCAGAATGGGAACTAAAAGAAGGCAGAGAGGCTAGAATGCTAAGATCATGGGAGCAGTGTAGGGATGGCCTGGGTCACACCATATCAGGTCTTATAAAGCCATGTTAAGGCCTGTATCTCTGTACCAAGCATAATGTGAATCTATTGAACTGGTTTTGGTTGGATAAGGGGATGCAGGGAAACCAGTGAGGAAACTGCCCGGTAGTGATAGAATCAGTGAACATGGGGGCTCAACAACAGACATACACTAGAATCTCCCAGGTGCAATACAACTTCTATCTCATCCTTCTCTAGAGCCAGACTTCCTACAGTTACATGCATGCCTAATTGCAGGGCTGGGTAGGAAGCCCCTCCCACTTCTACTCTCTGCCATCTCACAGGTTCTTGTGCTGAAATCTCTTCTACCATCTACTACAAATCTACCCACCATACAAGGAGTGTTGCTTGTCTGTTTCAGGCTCATGGCTCCTTAGAATGAACTGTGAAGGTTACGAGAAGAACATTTAATAAGCTTAGTGAGCCTCTTCTCTTTGTTCTCTTCTTTCCTCCCAAATAATACTGCTGTCTCACTTTTCCCTTCGCGTGGGACAGTCATTTATTCTTTTACTCTTGTGGTTACTCTTTCCAGCCAACCTCTGACAATCTACCTTTCTGACACCTCTTGCCAAAGGCATCTCACAATCTCAAGGGAGGGATGAAGGTTCACATACATAACATAATACAAGATGGCAGGTGTTGAGTACCATCTTCATGGAACAAGTAACAATAAGCACTTAGACAATAATAAATCAAGAGAGACTTCATAAAGGGATGATATGGGCTATGCCTTTAACAATGTGTGCACGCAGGAGCAGGAAGCCTTTCTAAGAGATAAAAATGTACAAGCAAAGGTCAAGGGCAGGGAAAGGCAAGAACTGCAACTAGAATTGTTTGGTTAGAGCCCTGAGGGAAGCAAGGCAGGCCAGACAAATTGAAGCCAGATGGCAAGGGGCCTTGAGTGTCACATAAAGCTATTTGAGCTGTTTTCATTAGGTAACAGCCATTGGAAATATGGGGAGGCCTAAACTAATCTGAGCAACATCTCACAAAGATGAATCTTAGAGTCATGTATGGAAGAATTTCATTGGATAAGAGACCAAAGTCAAGGAAACCAGAACAAAAGCTTTTGAATGGCCTGGCCTGGGCTTTCTAAGGCTTCATACTTTCTAAGTGTGCTGACTCTTTCTAAATGCCTGACTCATTATTGTACACCTGCTTTTGTTTTAATGTATTTATTAAACACTTGCTAGACATTCACCATGCATGTCCAATGCCAGACTACAAAGTTGACCTCCATCCTATCACTATGTTTTATTCATCCTGCATCCATAGACTCTAGCAGAACTCAAATCAAGTAGTAGGCACTTAACAGATATTTGTTGAAGGACTGGTCAACTTTGGTTGCTAAACCATTGTAGCAACAAAGATAACAACAATAACAACAGCATGAGTGATGTCAGAGATGTTTGAACCAGAGTGCCTCCATCTTGAATAGGGGCTGGGTATAATAAGGCTGAGACCTACTAGGCTGCATTCCGAGACAATTAGGCATTCTAAATCGCAGGATGAGATAGGAGGTCGGCACAAGACACAGGTCATAAAGACCTTGCTGATAAAACAGGTTGCGATAAAGAAGCTAGCTAAAATCCAGTAAAACAAAGATGGTGATGAGAGTAACCTATGTTCATCCCCACTGCTACACTTCCACCAGCGCCATGACAGTTTACAAATGCCATGGCAACGTCTGGAAGTTACCCTATATGGTCTAAAAAGGGGAGGAACTCTCAGCTCTGGGAACTGCCCATGCCCTTCCTGGGAAACTTATAAATAATCCACTTCTTGTTTAGCATATAATCAAGAAATAACCATAAAAATGGGCAACCAGCAGCCCAGGCTGCTGCTCTGCCCATGGAGTAGCTATTCTCTATTCCTTTACCTTCTTGATAAACTTGCTTTCCCTTTGCACTGTGAACTCGCCCTGAATTCTTTCTTGTGCAAGATGCAAGAACCTTCTTTTGGGGTCTGGATGGGGACCCCTTTCTGGTAATAGTAGTAAGAGTGATATCAGGGAGTCACTGTGTCCCAGGCAATGGCATAAGTGCTTCACACAAATCAATTAATTTAATCCTCACAATTACCTTATGAGATAAGCCTATTACTGTTCCCATTTTACAGATGGCAAACTAAGACCCCTAAGAGAAAGGTCTTGCTCAAGACATCACAGATATTAAGTAACAGAGCTGGAACGCAAACCATAGCAATATATCAGCCTATGTTCTCACTCAGTATCTCACACCTCCTTTCATGGGGCTGTCTACTGATTTCTGGACTCTTCACCTTCCGCATTTGGCTTTATGTCTAGAATAGCAAGAAGCAGAGACGCTCTATAAGTAAAAGTTCATCCAGACAGCCCACTTAAGAATTTCTGGAAGGGAAGATTTCCCTCCCTCCCATCTCTATGGTCATTATGGTCACTGTCAGGCAAGAGAGGCCATTCAGAGGTACATCCTGAGACAACATGCAGGATCTTTGTGGGAAAAAAGCAGAAGGGATGACGCAGGTGGCCTCCTGGGAAAGTGAAGGGAACCTGAAATTGGGTAACGGGGTCCATCCTACACTGGGCATGAGGTAAGGAATTTTACCTTCTTACAATTCTCACAACTTGTGCTGGAAGTATTATTGTTCTCAAAGAAATTGCCTAATGTCGCACCACTAGCAAGGGGCAGGACAAGTCTGTCTGAACTCTTTCCATCTCACCTCCCTGTCTCTGCCTCTACAATAATGGTGAAATTGGGGTGGGGACAATGAGAAGGAAAGTGAGGGGGCATTTGTACCCCTCACCAACAAACGAAAAAGCAGACATTTGGAGAAGAATCATTTATATTCTATGGGCATCATCATTCGGGTTTTGTGGGAAAGTGGGGGTTGTTCTGTGTTTTTGTTTTTGGCATGAAAACTAAATCTACCACATATTTTATCAAAATGACATAGCTATTCCCTGTTATAAGAAAATCCACCACACCAAACCATTACCATTATAATGTGCATTAAAGTAGCAAATTATTTTTATTCTAAGTATATAAATTACTAAATTTTTCAGGTTTTTCTAGTAAGTGTCATGCCAATGCTATTATCTTGTCCTGGTTCAATGAGCCTTATCTTGAATATCACCTAGTGTTTATAATGGAAATTTTAAAACAAAAATCTGAGGTCAAACAATATGTATTGAAAGCAGACACCTGGCCTGAATGACACAACCTCAGGTCATTCAGTGATTGTCCTGATTATCTGTATTTTTGAGTAGAAGAAAATGGTTTTTCAGATTTGTATTTAAATTTCAAAATAACAGTGGTAGAGGCAAATTTCCAAGGCCTGATGTTGTCTTAGATCCACAGTTTTTAGTATTTTTCCTTCAACTCCTCAGTAGCATAAAATCATTACAAAAGTCCCTTTAAGATCTCATTAAGAGGAGACCCCATGAAGCTGAGCCCACAGGGAGACATAGGTAGGGTACAGCCATCCTATCTCATAAAGAAAGAACAAGCCCTTCTGATGAATCGCAAACTGTCTTCATCTTAGCCCAAATGTAGGAGTTACATGTGAACCAACCAATCGACATCTCACTCCTTATATCTAACAGTGCCTGCAGAGGCTGTTGTTGGACTCTTTTGTCTTTTGAGGTGTTGACTGAAGTTCTAAGACCCAGAGTCTCTGGTTTCTTCCCAGAGTCCCTGGGCTTGGTGGAGGTCCTGGAATCCAAGCCACAGTGAACTCATGATCCAAGGGTTTACTCACTGGTTCAGGCAACAGGAAGAGAGGCCCAGTTCACCTGGGGCTGGTTTGGAGGGTCTAGAAAATATAAAAAGTGAAGCTCTCCTGGCCCACAGGGAAAAGGTAAGAACATGTGTCTGGGGAATAGGAAGGCACTCATTAGAATACGGAGCATCTCCTAGGGGCAGAGTGATTTTGATTCAGATTCAGACTGTAACAGCTCCTGGTATCATGCAAATGAAAGCACCAAGGAGCCTTTCTTCCATGAAAATGGGGCAAGTTGCCCTTTTTTTTTTTTTTCAAGTAGCTAAGCAACAAAAAACATAAATTACATCAGAGAATGGTTGCCTAGAAAGAAGAGAAACTATTTGGGCTTTAAAAATGACCTTTATTTGTGAGAAATATTTAATTGTGTCTAAAAAGTGATAGAAAACAAAAGGTAATGAAATGGCCCTAAATCACCTTAGGGTTAAAAATAAGTAAAAATAGTTAGAACTGAGTGTAACAGTGATTGTGAGTAAGAGTGTGTGTGTGTGTGTGTGAGTGTGTGTGTGTGTGTGTGTGTGAGAGAGAGAGAGAGAGAGAACATGTAGAAATCTGTCTTCTGCCTAGATTGAAAATCATTTGAAGACAGAGACTATGATATTTGGGCTGAATTGAAATCAAATAAATGTCTAATGATAAATTAAGATCTACTCTGCTCCCAGTCTTCCTTTTCTTTAAAATGGCACTATTTTCCCCTTGTCTACATATGAGAAACTCCCATTAAATATAAACTTCTGGAAAATAGAGACCACTTACTTATCTTTTTTGGTTACCTAATTCCATAACACTCACCTAGTTCTCTCTCTCTCTCTCTCTCTCAGACATACACACAGACACACACACACACACTCTCGAATACTTCATAAGGAAGGCTAGGAAGAGCTAATCAATACATATTTACTGAAACACTTTTGAGTATGTACAATGTGCATGGAAGTTATGAGAATTTGTAAGAACTGCACCAAGAAATGAAATGGTTGAATTCTGATTGTGAATTGCTACACCATAGAAAATACTCGTAAAAAATTATAGCACAACTGGTTCATTGGGATAAAAAGAGAAACATCATCTGTACTGGCTGTTTTCCTACTTCTAAGTGTGTCTATGTATTTTCTTTATTTCATGCAAACAAACACACATTGAGCACCCGTATAAAACCCTACTGTAAGAAAGACAGTAAAGGGTCAGATAGGTGTCTGCCCTTAACATGTTCAGGAAGAGAAGAATAAGACAATATGGTTGGCAGAAGAGGTGGAAGTGTCAAGACTGGTGTCCATATTTTGCCACTTTCTTGCTGCATGACCTCATATAAGTAGCTTAACATTCCTGAGCTTTAGTTTTCTCTTCTGTAAAACAGGGATAACAGTACCTCAAGATTTTCACAAAACTCATATAAAATCATGAAAGAGATTTGCAATCTATAACGTACTCTTAAATGTTAACTAAAATATAATTTCACAGACAATAAACACACCTACTATATTCACTGAATGGTTGAAACTGGAATTCTGGCCATCCTGGAGTTAAACCTGCCCTGCATTGTGTGCTTTTAAAACTCTGAAAGAGTTTCAACACTTAAAACTCAAATTCAGATTCCATTAAATAAAAATCTGAAAAATCTTACAGCATTGGACCCACGTTATTAATAACAATAATGGGCTAAAATTTAGTAGCGATGCTACTTTTAGATGGAAGAGTTATCCTTTAGTTAGCCACAGTCCCCACTATTCCCTTTTGGCTTATGTAAGTTAAAAATCACTATAACAAAAGAGAGACGGGGTAAGTGCAACAAAAGAAGGGGAACTGGCAGGGAGATGGGGCTTCTGCATATTCAAGAGAACACTAGCAACTGGAAGGACTGGGAAAGCTGCCTGGTAAAGGTGATATTTGAGGATTTGAGAATGAGGGGAGTTTAAAAGAAGAACAGTTTGAAAGAAGGTACGGTGGCATGGGAATTGGTAATGATAACCACTATCAAATTAAGAGAAGGGTATATGGAGGGTACTCATTTATTTATCCAATGTGTATTGAGACTCTATGAGCCAGACTCTGGACATCAAGAAACAATAGACAGATACCTGCCTTCTCTGGAGCTCACAGCCTAGTGAAGAAGACAGAAAAGTAGAGGTAACAAAGTTGAACAAATTCCCTTTGGGGGGTCTTTGATGACAACTAGGAAAATCACAATATTCCTCGATCTTTACCAACTAGACATGCTATTCAGGAGTTAGGATCATGAACCATAGCCAAGAGTCCAATTTTACCATTAATCCCCGTGTACCCACCAACAACTGGTCATGCTCATACACACCACTCTTTCCTAACTCTTACAAATAGAGATAAAACCAATATCAGCCACTTCCCAGTTCCTTTTGGATGATAATAGTAGAAAATAGAAGTGCAGATGCTTCTTGACATGTGATGGGATTATGTCCCAATAAACCCATCATCATAAATCAAAAATATCCTGTTGAAAATGTCTTCAATACCCCAATAAACTCATTGAAAAGTCAAAAAATCATAAGTTGAACTATCATAAGTCAAGGACCACTTGTAAAAGTATTTGGAATGTAAAATATATTATGTAAGTGCATGTTGTTAGCATTACAATTTCTCTGGTCTCCAGGGATCACTTGCAGCATAGGCAGTAGGGACAATCTCCTATCAGGGAAACGGCAAGAGTAATGCTTCATAACTATTTGTGGGTAATGGAAGACAAGGGCACAATGAATGTGAGCACAAGCCTTTTAACTACACAGACCTAAATTCAAATCCCATCTTCACCATTTGTTACCTGAACAACTGGGCCTGTTTCCTCACTTATAAATTATATCTAATAATATCTCTTTCCTAAGGTTGTCATGAGAATAAAATTAGAGTTAACGCAGTGCCTGGTTCATAGTAATTATTTGATAAATGGCAATAAAGATTGTTTTACTTACAGCTCAACTATCTCAAGATGATAGAGGTAGCGTTGCAGAATCCAGGAATCATAGAACTAGAATGACCTCGAAAATGTTATTTTCTCTTTCTGAGACTATGGTCTTTAACATCTTGTTCTAGCATTTCTCACTCCAGAAGTTGTGATCCGACTTATTCATTACAAGAATTCCTCCTCCTAAATGTAAGGCCATTTTCTCTTATTTTATTCCTCTGTGGAATAACAAGACTAGAGAAAAAATCAGCAGGTAAAGACCAAGATCTAAAATGACCAAATGTTCTGGTTTGCCTGGAACCAAGGAGTTTCCCAGGACACTGCACTTTCCGTGCTAAAATGAGGACAGTCCTGGGGAAACAGAGAGTTGGTCACTCTACCTCAGTTAGTGGTGCCCTGTTTTGATCTCTGGTTAAGCTAGAAAAGCCAAAAACTGTACAACTCAGTACATTCTATTTCTTACTGTATACAAATACTGACAACCAGAAGTGGGAAGAAAACTAGAGGCAAATGCCCCGGGTGGACAAGTGTATGCCCTGCCACCTTTTTCCTTTAGTTAAACCTGGTCTTTACATTGCCAGGACTCTCTGGTTTGGTAGCTATAGTCACCCTGAAAGAAATGTGGCCTTCCCTTTGTAGCTATACATCTGATGCTATTTCAGATGGTGAATCTGACAACTTGATACAAAGTGATTTTTGAACGAACAGTGTCTATATTGAAAGGCTTGTTTTTGTGTCTTGTCTTATGCAACCTGGATCAGAACAAAAACATGGCACCTTTTTTACTTCAGTGACTGTATGTGAGCTTTGTTTCCACTGATTTAGGCCAAAGTTGAGTTCTCTTGTCAACGTATTTGTCTGTCTGATTAATGGCAGTCCTCTCTTCTTTGGCTCGGGGTGCCAAAAGGACGTTACTGAGTGGCTTGTGAACCAAATAATGATGGCTGAAGGTATGAGCTCTCTGATAAATTTGCACATATCAGACAAAATGTGCTTACATCACATATATCAGAAAAAGTGGGCTTACATTTAGGAAGAGGAATTCATGTAATGAATAAGTAGGATCACAACTTGCAGCTGTTTAACTTCATTTTTCATGAACTTAAAATAACTTAGGAAACTTTTTTGCTTTGGAATTGTCTTTAGTTTTTCTCTCAGAGTCAAAGCCTTGAAGTCAGTCAGGACAATGTCTGAATACAGAGAGAATGAGAAACATTCCCTCTACAATGCCCCCAATTCCTTTGAGGGTTATAGGAAATAAGACAATAATTTCCAGTGGTCAGTCAGTTTTTCCAGTAATTTGAATGACTCACAGTGGTATAAACCAGGTCCTGTTGAGAAGCATTACACTATCCCCTTGTGATGATAAGCAGAAGCTCTTTAGTGAAGTTGCACAAACTCAACTTTCAGCAGCAGCAGCCACATAATCAGGGTAATCTTGAAGAGCCATCTTGATTTTTAAAACATTGAAAAATAGGTCTTTAAAAAACATAAAAGATTTAACAAATGACAAGCTGGAAAAATAAATTGTAACACATATGACCTACAAGTGATCTGGTTTCCTTAATATATAAAAAGCTCTTATAATTCAACAAGAAAAAGCAGATTAACAATCCAATAGAAAAATGGATAAAGATCACAAGCAGGCTTCTTCTTAGAATATACAAATGGCTTATAAGATTTTGAAAAGATGTTCAACTTCATTAAAAGCAAATGTTCAAAACCTATAATAAAGCAATAATATAAATTTATTTTATTATGATAAATTACATTGAAACATTTTGAAATAGCAAAAAAAAAAACATATTTTTAAGTGTTCATCAGTTTGAAATTGAACTGGTACAAGAATGGAGATTCTGTATTCCTTCCTTATGAGGATCCTCTCAAAACCCTTTCCTGTTGTAAGAACAGACTTTCTCAGACCATTGGTTGGAGTGGTGATGTTTCCTTTATTTGACCTCCAGAGCTGCTAAATGGGATGACAAAGATCTGTGTTTGGGGACAGGACAATATCGTTGGCAGGAATGCTGGGGTGTCCAAGACTAGAGGATGAATCTAGGTTCTGCATTTTCTTGCTCTGTAACTTGTGAACAAGTCACTTAACATTTCTGAACTTAAGGTTTCTCCTTTGCAAAATAGAGAT